GCTACAGCATCCACTAATAGGCTCTCGCCCAAAATGTGGGCGGCCAGCGAGGCCTGGCTGCCCTCAAACCTGGTCATGACGCTGCCCAGCATGGACCGGGTGGGCACCGTGCTCGGCGTCCCTCGTGAGGGTGCCCAGATGCCCGAGTTCCCGTCCTACGTGCAGACGTGCCTGGCCCTGGCCGCAGCCCCCGCCTACTGCGCCTCGCTGGATGCAGGGCAGCCAGGCCTGGAGGAGCACGTGGTGGGGCCGCGCTGCCCCCAGTGTGACTGCATCACCCTGGAGAACGTGACTGACGGGCTGCTGCACCGCCAGACCTTCACGGCCTTCGCAGCCGTGTACGGCGTGGCCCAGGCGCTCCACAACACACTGCTCTGCGACACCTCGGGCTGCCCTGTGCGGGAGCCCGTGCGGCCCTGGCAGGTGAGGGCACGGGAGCTGTGCCACCAGCGCCACCAGGGAGGAGGGACGGTGGGAGCAGGTCTGGGCTGGGGGGGCTCCCCGCCCCCCCCACCGCCAGCTCCCAGAGAACACGCACAACCTGAGCCTGCGGTTTGACACCAGTGGGAACGTGGACGTGAATCATGACTTGAAGCTGTGGGTACGGCAGGACCGGACGCCCACACTGTGCACCGTGGGCACCTTCAATGGCAGCCTGCAGCTCTGGCACTCCCAGATGAGGTGGCACACACAGGGAAACCAGGTGAGCACCAGCCCTGCCTGAGGGAGCGGGGCGGCCCCCAGGGCTCGGGCAGCTGCAGACAGCCGTGCGGAGCCTGAGCCCCGGGGCCCGTGCCAGGAGCCTGTGCCCCAGTGCTTGCAGCAGTGCAAGGAGGGCCAGGTGCGCTGCGTGAAGGGCTTCCACTCCTGCTGTTACAACGGCGCCGACTGCAAGGCAGGCAGCTACCAGCGCCATCCAGGTGAGCCCTCCGGGGGGCCCTCCCACGCTGTCGCACGAGCGAGGGAGGGTCCCTGCAGGGTCGGGGGCACAGGCCTGGCTCTGAGGCCAGAGGCCATGGCAGGGGCGAGTCTGGGGGAAGCCGACGGCCCCCAGCACCCCCCTCTCCTCCCCCTGCCCTCTGCAGCAAGTGTGACCAGGACCACGGGTCCCCAGACTGGAGCACCAGTGCCTCCCCCGCCGGCCCAAGTTCCTGGGGCTGCTTCCGCTCTGGGCCCGGCTCTGGGCCTGGTGCTGGCAGCCCTGGGACTCTTCATCTGGTGCCGGCACAGCCCATGGTTCGGGCCTCGGGTGGGGGGCCACAGGCCTGCTCTGCCTGGGCCTCGTCTGCCTCAGCGTCCTCCTGCTTCCCGGCCGACTCAGCCCTGCCAGCTGCCTGGCCCAGCCGCCGCTGCACCACCTCCTGCTCACCGGCTGCCGGAGCACACCCTTCCTGCAGGCGGCTAAGATCTTCGTGGGGTCAGAGCTGCAGCCGAGCTGGGCAGACCGGCTCTGCAGCCGCCTGTGGGGCGCTGGCTGGTATCTTCCCGCCGGAGGTGCCGACAGGCTGGCAAGTGCCGCCCACGGAGGCGCTGGCGCACTGCCACGTGCGCTCCTGGGTCAGCTTCGGCCTGGTGCACGCCACCAACGCCACGCTGGCTTTCCTCTGCTTCCTGGGCCCCTTCCCGGTAAAGAGCCGGCCCGGGGGCTACAACGGTGCCCGCGGCCTGACCTTTGTCATGCTGGCTTACTTCATCACCTGGGTCTCCTTCGTCCCCCTTTGCCGACGTGCACGTGGTCTCCCAGCCCGCCGTGCAGATGGGCGCCATCCTCTTCTGTGTGCTGGGCATCCTGGGCACCTTCCGCCTGCCTAAGTGCTACCTGCTGCTGTGGCGGCCGGACCTCAACACCCCTGAGTTCTTCCTGGGAGGGGGTCCTGGCGATGCCAGAGGGCGAGGCAGCAGTGGGGGCGGGGAGGAGACTCGGGGGAAAAACAAGCGACCCCTGACCCAGTGACCTCACCCCAGTGAACTCATACCTAGTCAAGGTGCCCACAGACCAAGTCCCTATGCAGCAACCTACAGACTGTGCCCCAACTCCGCTGGGACTCCCCAGCCCTACATTCTGCTGACCTTGACCCCACAGTGACCTCCAGAGGGCATAAGGGGCCTCAGCTCCGTGGGATCTCAACCCCTGGGGCCCCACAGGCAGGCTCTGTCCCTGCCCCAGCCAAGCCCTGGCCTGCACAGGTTACCCAGCACCACTGTCCCAGACAGAGGCCCATGGAGGCTTCCTCGGGGCCCCCCATAGCCCAGGCTGAGCGCTCAGGAAAGCCCCCAGCCAAACCATGTGAAAGCAAAGCTGGGTACCACTTGCCTGGCTGGGCCCAGCCTGGGGCCCCCACCCAGCATCCTGTCCAAGCATCGTAGGAGTGGGAGGTTGGTGGGTGGGGTGGGGCTTTCTTGACCCCCTCTGCAGGGGTGTGTGCCTGACTGTGGGCCCCAGTGCAGGGCAGAGACCCGCTCAGGAAGGTGGAGGCACCCAGCTTCCTTCTCTCTCCCTGGCCAGTGAGCCCGTAGGATGTGGTCAGTCCCCTCCAGCACCTCGGACAGAGCCCGGCCAGGGTCGGGGGTCAGCACCAAGGCCAGCACCAG